ATCTCTGTCATTGAATGACCACGGAGCTCCTGGTGCTTCTGTTACCTCATCTGCAAGTCGGGGTGACCAGAGTGCCTGCTTTGGGTGTCTTGACCACATGACATGACAGCTGTATAGCATTTTTTTTCAACAGAGTCTGGCCCGTGGTGAGTGTTCAAGGAATTGAAAATTAGCACTTGTAGATTTCCTGAGGCTAAGGGACTTCCACTGGCCCCCTATGATGCAGATAAGGGTAAGGACATCGTCACAGCCTGTGTCAGTCAACTCTTCATTCTGTAAGTAATACCTGAGACAAATCCACTTATGAAGAGAAAAGTAGGACGACAGCTCACAGTTTTAGAGGTTTCAGTTCAGCATTGATTGGCCCCATGGCTATTGGGCCTGTGGGAGGCAGCAAATCAATAGAGGGGAAGGTATGATGGGACAGAGCCATGTTCTTTAAAAGCCAAACGTGTGTGTGTGTGTGTGTGTGTGTGTGAGAGAGAGAGAGAGAGAGAGAGAGAGAGAGAGAGAGAGAGAGAGAGAGATTTTCCTTCCTCCATGTCCTTGAGGAGGTCACCTCACTTTTGGGGTATCAGAAGTTTTCAGGGTATAAACACTGATCCCCTGGAGAGATGCTCTCTGAGCTGAAGGATTGTAATATGCAGGTGATTCCTGTCACTGCTGTTTGAAGCATCAGCTGATGTGACACCTCTGGCCCCAGCTGCGGGGGAGGCCTCCCAGAGACAGCGCTCAGGACCCTTGGTCTGGGCTCCAGAGAATGCCTGTCCTTGTCATTGGTGGCAGAGCCTGTGTTTGTCCTGAGTCCCTGGGAGTCCACGGGCAGAGCTGACCAGAGCAGGCCAGGACAGAAGATTCTCCCCAGATAATGCTCACTCACCTGGAGGGGGTCAGCAGCAGGACTGGACAGGGGCTCTGGGGCCAGGAGGCAGGCACAGACATGGTGGAGCCCTGAGGAGCCTGCTCTGTCCCAGGGTCTGTGCTGGGGAGATCCCTGACTCTGCTCTCTGGAGAGAACTGACACTCTGCCTCCCTAGTTGCAAGAGGAAGTGACAGTGACAGAGTGGCAAGCAATTTCCTTCAAGAAGTAGAAACCAGGAGCACAGGCAGCAAAGTTAAGGGTCTCTCATGCTGCCTCTTCAGAAGGAATTGGACAGGCCTCGAGGAACAAGGCCTCCTTCCCCCTGGGCCTGTGCTGGTCCACTAGGCCCCTCGTGGCTTCCTGGGCCTTAGTGATGGGGTCACTTTGGGAGTCCCAGGACAGGCAGGAGGAGCCCCAGACTCCTGACCCTGAGACCCTGGTGTTGCTGGCTGGTGGCCTCACTCTGCAGCAGCCTCACTAAGCGCTACTCAGCAGAGGGAGGAAGAGGGGCCTGGGGCCTGCTCAGTGTGGGGGAGGGACTGGTCATTTCCTGCAAGGCCACCCACTGCACTTTATTATTGTTATTATTATTAGATCATAGTTACCCATGATATTTGGTTCATCCCGACTAAACCATATGTGCATGGAGTTTGGTTTCAGCTCTGGATCCCTCGGGTCCTCACCCCACATCCTTCTCCCTCGGGTCCTCACCCCACATCCTCCCCTTCTTCCTCATCTCTACAAGACCTCCTCTTGTTCGTCTCTGTATTTATTGTTGATTGGTCCTTTTTATTTATCCATAAAGGCGAGATTCCCTGTGGGATATTTATACTTGCACTTATCGTGATTTTTAATAACTCCTTCCAGATTTCCTCTCCCTTTCCGACCCTCCTCTCTGACTCTTGATCTCCTTCTAGGAGACTGACCTTTCCTGTATCTTTATTACATCCTGCCCTTCTCTTCTTCTTTCCTTTACTTAACTCTAGCTTCCACCGTTGAGAGAAAACTTTCCAACTTCAGTTTTCTGAGTCGGACTTATGCCACTTAGCATGATGTTCTCCATATTTATCCATTCACTACCGAAGGCTATAATATCATTCTCTCTGGCCGAGGGGATCTCCATTGTGTTTAAAAACCCACAGTTTCTTGATCCATTCATCTCTTGACAGGTGCCTGGCTTGGTTCCATAATTTAGCTATTATGGTTGAGCTGCTGTAAACATTTAGGTGGCTGCATCCCTGTTGCATGCTGACTTTAGATCTTTTGGGAAAACACCAAGGAGTGGATAGCTGGGTCATGGTGGCTCCATTCCCAATTTTCTGAGGATTCTCCATTCTTCTTTCCAGAGTGGTCGCCCTCCTCTGCAGTCCCACCTACAGTACCTGAGTGTGCCTTTTCCCCCCATCTTCTCCAACACTTATTATTGTTTGTAACCTTGGCATTTTCCCTCTGCCTGGAGATGAAGTTTAGTACAGTTTTGATTGGCATATCCCTAATTATGAGGAAAGTTGAAATTTTTAAAGTATACATATTGGCCATTTGGGTTTCTTCTTTTGAGAACTTCCTTCTAGTGGTTGTTTTTTACCCATTGGGTTATTATTATCATTAGTTTTGATTTTAAGGTATTTGAGTTCTTTACATATCCTGAATATTTCTTCCCAAATATCAGATAGCTGTGAGTATGTGGATTTGACTCTGGGCCTTCCGTCCTTTCCTTTGGTCTTCATGTCCGTTCTGTTGCCAAGGCCACGCTATTGGGTTACTACAGCTCTGTGGTATAATTTGAGATCAGGTACTCTGAAGCCCCCTGCATCATTTTTCTTGCTCTGTATTGTCTCTACTCCCGTATTCTTCCAAATACATTTAAGAGTTATTTTTTTTCTAACTCTGTGAAATGTTGTTGGCATGTTGATGGGGATTCCACTGAATCTGTGTATTGCTTTTGGTATTAGGGCCATGTTGAGATATTACTTATGCCTATGAAAGAATCTGGGAGGTTTTTTTCCATTTTCTATGGTTTTCTTCAACTTTATTCTTCAGTTTCCATTAATTTTCTTGTAGAGCTTTTTCACCTCCTCAAATAGAAGTAGTCCCATGACCTTTATTTTTTTGAGTTTTTTTTGTGTGAATGAGACAAGTTTTGCTGATTCCTTCTTTGGCTGAATTACTTTTAGGATATTGGAAAGCAATTAATTCATGGGTGTAGATTTTGTGTCCTTCTCCTTTGCTAAATTCATTTCTGATTTCTAGAAATCTTCTGTTGGAGTTTTCTGGGTCTTCTAGTTATAGGATCATGTCATTTCCAAGCAGATGACTTATTTTTTTTCCCTATTTCTATCCCTTAATTTCCATCTCTTGCCTGATTGCTTTGTCTAGTATTTAAAGATCTATATTGCTTAGAAGTGGTAAAAGAGGGCAACTTGTCTTGTTCTTAATTTGGGGGGGGGGAACATATTTTATTTTTCTCCATTCAGTGTGATGTTAGTTGAGGATTTTCATTTATAGCTTTTACAATACTGAGGGGAGATTCATCCTGAACTTCTCCTCAATTTTTAACATGGATGGATGCTGGAAAGAACGTTTCTGCATCTATTGAGATATTCCTGCGATTCCTGTCCTTAATTCTAAGTGGTGAATAACATTTATGGATTTGCGTATGTTGAACTGACCTGGCATCCCTGGGATGAAATGCACTTGATCATGCTATATTACCACTTTGATGGGTTTTTCATGCCGTTTGGTAATATTGCATTAAATATTTTTGCTTCAGTGTTCATCGAGGCTATTGGTCTGAAGTTCACTTCATGTGTCTTTGTCTAAGTTTCACATAAAGATTATACTGGCTTCATAGAATGTATTTGGGAGTGTTCCCTCCCTTTTAAATTTATGGCATAATAAGAGAACTACTGGTGCTAGTTCTTCTTTAAAGGTTTGGTAGAACTCAGCTGAAAATCCATGTGGTCTTGGGCTTTTCTTTGTTGGAAGGCTTTTAACTGCTCTTTGAATTTCATTCCTTGATACCATTCTGTTTAGATTTTCCATATCTTTCGGGTTCAGTTTGGGCAGGTCACATGTGTCTGGGAATTTGTCAATTTCTTTTAGATTTTCCATTTTTTTTGAGTTGAAATTTTCAATATAGTGTCTGTCCAATGTTCCTGGATTTTAGAAGTTTTTTTCCAGTGATATTTTCTTTTTTTTAATCTCTAATTTGATTGATTTGGGTCTTCTCTCTCTTTCTTCTGGTTATGTGGCTGAGAGGGTTTTAATCTTATTTATCTTTTAAAAGAAACAACTCCTCTTTGCATTGATCCTCTGTGTTGTTTTTCATTCTCAATTTCATTGATTTCTGCTCTGATATTAATGATTTTCTATCCTCTAATCTTTTGGTAATTAGTTTGTTCTTGTTTTTCTAAGGACTTGAGGTGGAGTATAAGCTTATCTATTTGAGATCTCTATCTTGTTAAAGTAGGCACTCAATGATCTAGATTTTCCTACTAGAACTGCTGTCATCTTGTCCCAGAGGTGTAGATATGTTGTATTTCTGTTCTTGTTTGCTTCTACAAATTTCTTGATCTCTACTCTCATTTCCTCTTATGATCCATTCTATATTTAAAGAATAAGCAACAGAGATAAAAGTACAGTGAGGACAGGAGAGGTGATAATGCTGGAAGTGAGATTAAACTGAGAACAAATGGGCAGAACAGAAGCAGCTGGCCAGTGGATCACACGTGGGGATTTTCTTTTGGCAGATGAATAAACCTGGTAAAGGTGATGTTACCACATACACAGGGGAATGGTGGTGCCCAAAAGGGTGATGTTATTAAGGGGGTTGATAATTCACCTAAGGTAGAAATGATTTTGCATCAGATCTTAAATTAATAAGAACAAGGCCAGCATGTTGAAACTCCTCTGGGTAAGTTTTTACAAAGAAACAAAACTTTAACACTCAGTGTTTCTAGTTTTCCAAATCACTGTGCACTATGCCTTCATTTTATTATTGTTTATATTTCTCTATATGTTTAAATTGACATTTAACTGATATTTTGAGTGTCTTTCATATTTTGACAAATGCTGCAAACATGGAAGAACCATCATTATTTTTCATGATCACTATGGAGATGGCTTCCCAGGGTTTTGCTTTCAGTTTGCATGGTCATTTTGACAATCCTGCTCTTCTATGGAAAGTGTTCTTCATCCAGGACAATACTGTTGTTCAGAGGTGTTAAAGAAGAAAATCACTGAATTTAAGGTGCACCTTCTTTCTTTTTTCTTTCTGGGCTGGGTTTGAGGCATAGGAAACTTAGGTAAAGAGGAAGGAGCATAATTTTTCATATTAAACAGAATGAGTTTCATGTGAGAACCTCAACAAGGCTGGGGAGGAGGGGTAGGCAGGAAAAAGATGGCTGAGTGACTCTTGAGAGCAAGGACTTGGGGTGCTTGATGGCCAAGCCCGAGGCAATGGAGAAGAGGTTTCCTGACGTGGTCAGGTGGGTCTTGCTTGTCACCATCTGGGGAGGTGTCATGAGTTTCTGTCCAGAGACAGGACCCATGGCCCTGCTCAGGATGATGAGTGCAGACTCAGCCATGGGGCATCAAGGACTGGGCAGAGGTGCAACAGGGGCCTGTGGGCTGGTGTCCTGGGAGGAGACATTTGGAGCAGAGGCTACAGAGGCTTCTGGGCAGCTCCTTCTCTCAGGCTGAGCACCTTGGAGCAGGAAGAAGGTGGCAGAGACTGAGAGTCCAAGGTAGCAGGGAGTGATGCAGGATCTGTGGGAAACAATCCATGATGAACAATCAGTCCGCATTCAATTATCTGCTCACCATTTATGACACATCTCCTGGGAGCTATGAGATTCTGGATGCCTGTCTTGAGGGAACCCCCAACCCCAGGACAGCCAACCCCAGGTCTCAGCCCAACCTGTCCTGACTTGCATCCCCTCTACCTTCAGATTGGTCACACTGAGAGTCACAAGGGGAGCATCTGTGAGAGCAGCCCACCTAGAACTTCTCCACATTGCTGCATATGGTAGAATCGTTCTGCCCATGGAGGCCCAGCATTAGACTACAGGACTAATCTAGAGGTGTCCTTCAAAGGAGACACCCAATCTGCTCATGCTCACTGCACACCTTCTGCCCGTCATCTCTGGAGCACCTTGACTCAGAGGACACCCATTGCCAACCCTTCACCTCCTCATCTCCTGCATACGCCACACATTTTCTGGGAGCTGGGACCCCACAGAAGTTGCCTGAGATCCTGGGGGTGCTGAGGGGTGTGTGCCTAGTTCTCTAGACCCACTGACTGCAGCTGTGCACAGGTGACTGGCACTCCCCCAGGCCCTGCCCTCTGCAGCAGCCTGTGCTCCACCCTCCCTCCTGGGGACTCACAGTCAGGACTTCTGCTTCCTGTGGACGTAGATGGCAGAGACACCAACTGCCAGTAGGATCTTGAGGCCAAGGAACAGGCCTATGAGGTATGAAACAAGTGTAGACTTCACTGCTCCTGAAAATCAAGGGACAGAAGGGACTATTAGAGGGACTCCTAGCCATTCGTTCCCAGGAGCCTGCACCTGCCGAGGCCCACCTGGGCCCAACAATGTTGTGAAGCTTTAGCACACACCCTGTCCTGGCTGCCCTGGTCATCCTGAGGCAGACTCCTCCTGGGTCAAGAATTTCCTTATTTCCACTCAGATCCCAGGGTGTCCTTGGTGAGAGAAAGTAAAATGTGTGTTTCAAGCACATTTCCCACCCAGCCATGGTGCTTCCCTACTTGATTCTCACCATCTCATGTACAAGGATTATCATTACTTCCGGGTAAGAAAACCAGGGCCTGGGGAGTTTAAGGAGGGTCACAGCTTAGTGGAATCCAAACCAGAGCAGCTCCTCCCTGGAGTCCTATATGGTGTTTCCAGAGACCAAGTTCCTTGGACAAAGAGAATGTCCGGTGTCTCCAGGGCATGAAAACAATTTTCAATGGTGCATGCACATGGGGTTAGGGAGAGAGAGGAGAGCAAAGCTGCCCACTCAGTGTCATGGGTAAGATGAAAGACCCCCTGTCTCATGACCTTGGGGAGCCTGCTAAGGAGGTACAGGAAGAAAAGTGTGAACCAGAAACCCTCTGGGGAGTCAAGAAAAAGATTCTTCTACTGGGAAGGGCCTCTAAATAGCAGACCTCCCCTCCAGTGGTATATCATCTGAAGGCTTTCTGTTGAACAAAGCCAGATCCGGGCAAGAAGACCTGTGGAGTCTTTGCATTGTTACTATGAGCCATTTTTCCTTTTAAAATAATGCTAACAAAGATGGGAATTTTTTTAAAAACAAAGAAATGCTTTCAGGGCCTTAGGAAGGAGTGGGCACATTACCTCCTGGGGCTGCTGCCCTGCTGGAGGCCACAGTTCTCAGCTGAGTGCTGCTCTGGGGCTCCCCCTCAGTGGGGGAGAGCTGCACTCCTGCCCCCTCCTCCCTCTAGAAGGCACCAGCATCAGAGCCTGCCTGAGCAGGGAGTGGAAGGGCCCCCCGGTTCCTCCACTGAAAGCAGCTCTGGGGCTCCTCTGGCTTCTGTGGGGGCAGCTGAGTTGCTGCTTCATTTCTTCCTTGGACGGGAGGGATCCTGAAGTTGATCCTGAGAACATTCCAGGAAACTTCCTGATTCCCCATGTCCCTCATAGTTAGGCACTTCCTATGGAAACCCAGCTCCAGGAGAGGTCTGGGAATTAGACACTGTGAGTTTGAACCTGGGACCCATCAGCCGGCTGCTGACATGACCCCAGTGCTGGGGGTCAGTGGCACCTGGGCAGGCACTGGCCTGCACTGGAGGTGCCCTTATTCACTCTTTCAGCAGAAGTGAACTTGTTTAACCTCAGGAAGGGGATTCTTGGCATCTGGTGCTTGAACTTCAATTGGGAAATGGCTGTTATTAGGCTCTGGTTTTGGAGGGCTGGTTCTGCACATCAGTCCTTTGGAGAAAGACAATGAGAAGCTAAGTGTGAGGTGTATTGAAAATTCCAATATGGAATGGAGGCTGGACAGAGGTTCACAGGGTAAGGAGGAGGGAGAGGCCCTGAGGCAGGAGAACAGAGCAGCAGATGGGTGGAGAGACAAGAGGCAGGACAGTAAGACAGGACGGTTCCCCTCCCTCTCCTTCTTCTTTAACGTCTGTTGAAAGATCCATGGAGAGATGGACTGAGGTCTTCAAGTGGAGACTTTGGGGTGAGGAGTGGGAGATTTCAGTGAATATAAGGTTCTAATAGTTATTTGAAGACTTGAGAATTGTTCTACAATGAATAAAAATAAAGTACTACCTTTAGAACTAAAAACCTCCAAAGGATATAAGACAGACAAGACCCAGTCACCTGGAGTGGCGACCCCACCAGAGAGAGATTTTTTTTTTCTTTTGGGAACGAGAGATCAAACCCAGGGGTGCACTGAACCACATCTACAGCCTTTTTTTCTTTATTAAATTATTTATTTATTCTAATTTGTTATGCATGATGGCAGCATCTGTAGCCCTTTTTAATATTTAATTTATAGGCAGGGTCTTGCTGAGTTCCTTAAGGCCTTGCTAATTTGCTGAGGCTGACCTGGAACGTGGATCCTCCTGCCTCAGCCTCCTGAGTAGCAGGGATTAGACACCTCACCTGACCAGGGAGGTATCTGTACCCTGCTTTTTCTGAGAACCCCAACACTTAGCCTATGGTTTCTGGAGGTGGCTGGCTGCCCATCTTGTACCATCTGGCAGGTAAACACCACATCACCCCTGGGCACATGAGTTCTCCAGGAGCCCGCTCATGTGGTTACAGGTCCTATCCTTGTTCTCTGGGATGGCTGAGGCAGCTTCTGTTCTCAACACATTTCCATTTTCCAACCAGGTTACATGCAAGCTCATGGGATAGAACATCTTTGCCTGGCAGGTGATGGTCACCTGGTCCTGTGTCACTGTGTGTTTTGGGGTGACATCCACAGTGGGTGGGAAGATAGGTGGAAGGGGAGGGCAATTAGAATTGACAAGTGTCAGGTGAAGAAGGCAAGTGGCAGTTGCCAGGATAGGTCCATCCTCCCTTTCTTCCTCCTTAGTGCCCCTGTTTGAAGGCCCCATGAGATGTGTGCCCAACCCCACAGAGGAGACCCTCAGAGTGGGGTGTGGGGAGCTAAGACGCTGCTGTGTTCCCAGCTCTGGGTGCCCTGTGGGAAGGGGGGTCACTGCTGTCACATCACAGCACACAGAGTCAAGGTGAAGTTTAAAGCATTCGGTCAGCTGGGAGAGGCCTCACCCTCACCGGGGGTGTTGTCCAGGCCTTGCTCCCTGGAACTTGAAGAGACCTTCAGGGTGTAGCTCCTGGTGGTGGCTGGCTGCCCGTCATGCTCCACCCGGCAGGTGAACGTCACGTCCTCCCTGTGCACAGAGGAGTTGACCAGCAGCCAGCTCGTCACGTTGAAGGTCCCGTCCTTGTTCTCTGACAGGGTTGAGGCTGTCTCTGTCCTGGACACATTTCCATTCTCCACCCAGGTCACCTGTAGGCTCTGAGGGTAGAACTGCATCACCTGGCAGATGATGTTCACCTGGTTCCCTGCCATGGTGGGCTGTGAGGTGACCTCCAGGGTGGGTGGAACTGAAACAGCACAGGGAGAAGCTGTGACCTTATGGGACAGATGCTGAGCTCCTCCCAGCAGGGCAAGGGCCTCCCTCGGGACAGGACCAGGCATGCAGAGGGGCTCAGACACTGGGGGTTTGCACGGGAGTGAATCACTAACCACAGGGCCTGCCACCCACAGGTGCCAAGTGACCAGCAGCTCCCCTGAGGGTAAAGTGAGTGAGGTTGACAAGCCCAGCTCCTGGGCTGCAGGAAGTGGGCAAATAGATGAAACCCTCAGCCCCATACCTCAAGGCTCAGCTTTAGGAGGTGCTCACAGTGGTATTTGCTACTAGTCAATGAAATGAAGCCAACAGCACATGCTGGCCACAGGGCAGGAGTCCACATGTGACGGCAGGTGGCAGCACGGCTGGGAGCTAGAGCCCAGGCCACTGAGGTCCTGCAGCAAAGGCCCCTGGGGATCAGCAGGCTGGGTGGCCAGTGTGGGCTGGGGCAGGCAGCAGGGTCCTGTACCTCGGATGGTGTCAGCCAAGTTGGCAGTCCCACGAAGAGGAGGGCCCCCTTGCAGGCTTATGTGGGCCACCTCACAGATGATCTGAGAGTAGATGTCCCCGGGGGCCAGGGTCACCTGGGCTGTGCTGGACAAACTGAAGGACACACTTTCTCCTCTGGGGTCCACGTTGGTCTGGATGTGCAGGAATTTATTCCCATTTTTGAACCAGTTCAGGGTGATGTTGCTGGGGGAGAAGCCGTGGGACTTGCAGGTGAAGCTCACCATCTGCCCAGGTGCGGCCCTCGTCTCAGGACCCAATAGCACAGGGGGGGAAGGTCTGGCTGTGAAGGGGCATTGACAGACAAGTGAGGTGATCAGAAGTGTCCCTCAGAGCACAAGTGAGTGACACTGTGAACAATCGTCCTTGACATTATTATTGCTATTATCACTATTATCCTTATTATTATTATTTGCTGTACTAGAGATTGATACCAGGGGCCTGCTGAGCACATGCTCTGTCACTGGGCTATACCCGAAGCGACAAGACATTGTTTTTTTTAATGCTCCTAATAATGCTGAACTCCTAATAACTACTGAACTTTCAAGGTGCTGAACTGTTCCCTGTGTGGGGTCCCTACCCTCATGTTTCTAGGTGAGCACAGCTGTCCAGCCAGACAGTGAGGAACATCAGCCCAGATATTGCTCCAAGCCTGAGATCCATGCCTTCCTCTCTGCACCAGGCAGTGCTACCAACATGGGCCCAGGGAGGACCTCACAGCCCTGTCTCACTCTTTGTTAACAACCATTTCCTGCTGGCCTGCCCTGGAATACTTGACACTGAGGGTGGCCCTTTTTAGAAACAAATTCAGGGGACAAATAGCATCATGAAAACCACCATGAACACGGGGATCAGCTCTTCATGCTGAGACGTGGCCCAGCACCTCATCTGTGGGATGGGGTGGTTGCAAATCTCCTCCCAGGCCACACTGAGCACAGGTGGCTTTGGGTCCCACAGAGCTGCCCCTGGAATCTCAGCAAACTGTAGGGCCTGTTGTCCAGAGACTGGGGAGGCTGAGGCAGGAGGACTGCAATGTCCAGACCAGACTGGGAAACAGCGAGAACCTGCCTCAAAATATATAATTAAAAAGGGCTGAGGATGTAGTGCTCCTGGGGTCAATCCAACAACTGAAACCCAAACAAACAAATAAACAAACAAGCAAACCCAGGTCATCCTTCTCCTATACTTTATGTTACATAGGGATCCTCTACAGGTGGTTATGAGTCCACCCCAATTGTTCTTCTTTCCACAAATATGCCATGGGTCTCACCTGGGCCGAGGCCTGAATTTGTAAGGGAAGGATGAAGAACCCTTTTCTGAAACTGGGCTTCCTTGCATCACTTTTGCATTGGAATCACGGTTACTGAGTGCTGAGGAAGCCATAGGACCAAATTTATAACTGATGATGAATTGAGCAGGTCCCCGGGGCAGAGATGTGAGAGGATAAGCAGGCCTTTTGCCTGTGGGCAGGTACTAGAGGGGTCCTTTGGCCTCTCCAGATTGCTCACTGCCACCCAGCACTTTCTACAGCTGGCACCAGGCAGCAAATACCATGAATACTTGTATTAACACATTTTTTTTTTGAGAGAGAGAGAGACAGAGAGAGAGAGAGAGAGAATTTTTTAATATTTATTTTTAGTTTTCGGTGGACACAACATCTTTTATTTTTATGTGGTGCTGAGGATCGAACCCGGATCCCGCCTGTGTATTAGCACATTCTTACCTCACTGCCTGACACATGTACAAAACTCAGAGGGCATTGAAGAAGTGGATTCACCCAGACCCCAAAAGCCTGGAAGTCCCTATAGAGGTTAGAAACTCTACTCAGTGGCCACTTGCCAAGAGCTGCTCAGCATCTTGATGCTGGCCCGATCCCTCAGAGCCCCTCATGCCCACCTTCTTCTTGAGGGAGTACTAGTGAGAGCCCATTATGGGATAAGGCTCAGAGAGGTGGGTGGCCAGCAAGGGCACCAGGCTGGGGGAGGGAAGAGATCAGACTCCTCTCATCCACACAGGAAGATTATTTAACAACTATTTTTTTCTTCTGAGCCTCGGTATTTCCGTCTGAAGAGAGTGATTACAAGCACCACCCTGGAAGACGAGGGTGAAGGCAATGGATGGCACTGGCATGCAGTAGGAGCCTTAATAAATATCACCTGTGGCTGTATCCTCACTCCTTATGAAACCACACATTCATTCTTTAGTAGCCAGAAGTAGCACCAAATGCAGTGAGGACCCTGGGAAAAGTCTCTACTCTGTTCCTTAAGCTGCAAGGAGAACCCGAGTGATAGGAGAAGCAGAAATCCCTGGGGGAAGAGGCTCCACCTGTTTCTCTTCCTCCAGGTGCTGAGAGTCTACCCAGGGCCTCAGGTGTGCCTACAGACATCCACCTCTGAGTTGAATCTCCACCCTCCCCCTGTGTTCTTAGGAGTCCCCACTGGAAACAAGGTGGCAAAGTGCTTCTCACATCACCTAAGGCATCACAGGGGTCTTCTAAAGAGAAGCTGTTTCCATAAAGTGGGGCTCTGTGAAGGGACAAGGGGCAGAGGCCTCCATGACATTTTGGGTCCTCAACACAGAGAGGGCTGTGTGCTCCACAGGTGGTTATGAATCCACCCCAATTGTTCTTTTCTCCATCATCTTTCTCCCTAGCTCTAGAATCTGTTTACAGGAAGATGTATGTCAGATGTGGGCTCTGGACTGACACTGGATCTCAGTGGGCTGTCAGGAGATCCCCTTCACAGACCCCAGAGAGCTGAGCCCAGCACTTGATTTTCAGAAGCATCCACACCTCAGAAGGGCTCCCACACTCTCTTTCATTGCTACAGGAAAACCCCAAATTTCCTTCTGTGTCTTCAGGACATCCATCTCAGGGGAGGAAAGCCCTGTTTGTATTTATAAACTTCTAAACTAACTATTCTTAGTTACTCAGATGCCTAGTCAAAAGTCAGACATTTTAATGCAAAATGTTTAGGTGAAGCCTGGGTCTGGGAGATTTTGTCTTCAGTTTCTTCCATGATTCCTATGCACAGCCAGTGCCGAGCCCCCGACCCCACCCACCACATCAGTAAGAGCAACTGTAACATCTCCCCAGGAAGAAGGCTTTTGCCCTTGAACAATGGAGCAGCTCTGTGTGTCCTTCTGGGGCATCTCCCTGTGGAAGGAGACCAT